CCCCCGCCTCCTCTTCCTGCGGCCCCGCCCCCTCCCAGGCTCCGCCCCATCCCGCGGATTGGGCACCAGTTAGGGTTCTGTGACTCTGGGCGGCGCGCGTGGGCTCGAGTGCTCTGGGAGGGAGAAAAGGAGAAGGGGGAGAGGAAGGAGGAGAAGGAGTACGGGAGAAAGAGGGGGAAGAGGATGGGGAGAAGGGAGGGAGAGGGAGAGGAGGGGGAGGTCAGAGAAGGGAGATGCCGTGTCCCGGTGCCTGCCCGAGTCCCGACCCGCTCAGAGCCAGGCAGACTGGGAGGCTGGCACGCCCCCTCGGTACCGGGGACTGCTTCCCACCCTTTCATAAACTTTACCTCCCCACCCAGTCCCTCTCACCGGCTCTCCGATTCCCTCGGTCTCTAGGGAAGCGCTGGATCTATATCCAAGCGATGAGGAAGGCGACTCTAGAGCAACCTGACAAAGATCTTGAGGTTGGCCTGGCCCCAGCGCTTGGAGGGCTGGGTGTAGGGTGGAGACCCGGGTGCAGACTTGAAGTGAAGGGTGCCACTCTCCTATTCATGTCCACACCCACACTCAAGAGCACGAAATGCAAGGCTCTTCGGAGTTCGTAAGAGAGCCTGACTGCGAGTAGCGGCAAACGAGCCTGGGGAAGGTGAGACCTGGGGTCCGACACACCCTCCCCGGTTGGGATGCGGTGGTGAACAGACGGGCAGACAGACTGCCAGGTCTTTTGGCAAGGGGCAGATGCCGGCTTTACAGCTCTGAGGCCATTATTCTGGGAATCACCCCTAGAGACTAGGACCGAGCTCTGGCATTTTGTTGAGCTTTCTGTAGTGGAACTGTCCCTTGCTCCGTGCCTCGTGCCTCCTCCCACACGTCCAGACCTGAGAACATGACCAGTACGGAGCCCAGGGTGTGAGCTGGACCTTCTCAGGTCTCCCGAGCAGCGCTTGTCTGGAGCGTCCAGCTTCTCTCTAGACATCATCAGGAGGTATGAGGAGCAATTTCACTTTCTTTGCAAAGCTCAGCTTTAAAGAGGCTTGGAAGAAAGATTGAGAGGGAAGTTATGTGTGTGCAAACGTTTGTTATGTGTGTGCAGCAAAGGGTCTGTGGTTCCTCCCCTCGAGGCAGTGGATCCTTAGTTCCTTCCCTTCTTTCACCTGCAGGGTTGGGGTAAGCCAGCTGCTTAGGAGTGAGGCAAATGCAGGTTTGAGTTCCAACAAGGGTGCTTCTGGCTCTGGTTGAGGGTGTCTGTGAGAGCTAGACTGTGGATGTTCTTGTGTGAGTCCCTGGCAGGGCTGAGGGTCCCTGATAAGGCCTCATGGCCCCTGTGAGGGGTGAGCAAGTGTGTGAGTGTGGGGGTCAGCACCTTAGCCTGTGCTCAGTGTGAGAGCAGTTGGCTGTGTGTACTGAGCAATCTCAGGGGTTCAAGAGGAAGGAAGGGAGGAGGGAGGAGACCAGGCCAGAGTGCTTTGTGTAGAGGTTGGAGAGGAAGGAGAGAGAGCAGTGTAGATCAACTGTAAGTTCCTAGAGTTTTATAGGTTGGTTGGAGTGTGTGTGAGGATGGGTGAGAATGCTTTACAGAGTTAAGGAGGGCTCTGAGGAAATGCTCGTGTGGCCAGCCCTGCACTGGGCCCCTCCTGGCCTGGCCCCTGAACAGCAGCAGGACTCCTCAATGGCCCTCACAGGGGCCACTCCCCCCCACCAAACACGCACGCACACACACACACACACACACACACACACACACACTGGTCATCTCCCGGCAGCCTCCACCATTTATCTCCCGTCTGAATCTCCCATACTTATCTATTCTATTATGCAAATAAGGCACAGCTAGTATCTAGAAGCAAGCAAAACACTGAGCAAGCAGCTGTTGGTCCTGCACACCCTCAGCTCCAGCAATACCTCCTGCTGCCTCAGAGGAGCGGGGAGGTTCTTTGCGAACAAAAGTGAAGCGGTACCTGTCTGACCCTTCCTGGCTGTTTCTTTTCATGGCTTTAATTTTTTCGTTTTACTCATGGCAGCTTTCTGTGCCAAGAAGTCAGATCTCTATCCCAGCCAGCCGGGTCTTTCTTTCCATAAAAACCAGTGGTTTTACAGAGTCCCTTGGAACCAGAACCTGGAGGTTTTAACAGCTCTGGGTCCCTTGGTGACCTGAGAGCCCACGGGGCCAGCACATGTGGACTCTTGGGCATTTTCATCCTTCTTTTGAGCCTTTTATTCTTTTTTTTTTAACCTCGGGCCTTGGAGGATGGGATTAGGCCTCTCTGCACTGTGGCCTCCAGTGTTGCTGGTGTAGGAACAGAGAAGTCAGGATGTTTCAAATCCAGGCAGCCAGAGTTCCTATCCTGAGCATTGTGGAGTGATTGTGGGGGTTCACTTTGTGAGGCACTGGGTCTGGCCCAGAGGAGACCCCTTCCAGGCCCAGCTTCTGTATGGTAGACTTTGGACTTCAGACCATTTAGGAACTATCAGTCTTTGGAGCTCACAGCAGGACTCGCCCAGTTGGGTGTGCAGGAGGTTGGCCCTTCTGCGCGCCACTGGGCTCCCACCTGTGGGTTCTTCCACCCGATGAGACCACATTCTGTAGAATTGTCCTGGGAATGAAGACTGGGGGCACCCCTGGCAAGGTACCATCACCTAGCCAACGTGTGGGGCAGTCCGTGGTGGGTGGTAGGATGATTTTTGCCTCTAGGACTCTACAGAGCTGTGCAACTCTGAGGGTCCCTCCTACTAAGAGTTGGGAGCTGGCATATAAGTTCATGAGTTCTGCCTGCTGCGTGGGAATTCTTGGGGTTGGGAATTTCCTTATCCAAGGGAGGGGACTAGGAGGCCAGGATTTTATTCCTACTGCATGCCTCACTGGCACCATCAGGTTCACCTGCCTCACTAGCATCCCAACCTGGCCTCAACCCTAGGGAGCTATAGAGAATCTCTCTCTCTCTCTCTCTCTCTCTCTCTCTCTCTCTCTCTCTACCTCTCTTCCCCCCTTTCTCCCTCCCTCCCTTCCTCCATCCCTCCTTCCTTCTGTCCCTCCCTCCCTCTTCTTAGGTAGCACAGACTGGCCCTCAAACTCACCATGTAGCTAAGGATGCTCAGCCTCTGATATCCTTCTGCCTCCTCTGGGGTATTGGGATAATAGGCCTGTATCTTCACACAGGATTTATGTGGTTTTGGGACCAAATCTGGCATACTTCTTGTATACTAAACAAGCACACTACCAACCAAGTTACATTGGCAGCTCCCCAGGCCAAATGTATTAAGGAACCTGAACATAGGGGTACCTCACAGGTAGGGACAAGGCAGTAGTCTAAAAGTAACTCTGGCTTAGCTGTAGTTCCAGTATAGACAACCTCTCAGGTGCTGGCTGGCCCTTCCTGGGTTCTCAGGTTTATAGCCTGAGATCTAAACTCCATGTCAGGTATCAGTCTGTTGCCAGACCTTGTGTTTCTGTATTCTGTATTTGTAAAAACAAATACATTTATTTCTGGGCAGAGTAGCCATGCTGAATAGGAAGAGGAGTAGCTCTGGCAATGAGTTTGCAGGCGGGTCCCTATGGTGGCAGAGGTGCTAGGGACATGGTTCCTCACAGTTTGGTGCTCAACTCCCTCCTGTATCACTAGCTGCCTACTGGCTCACTGACACATTTTAAACAACACAAGATGATGAAGGCATGTCTGTGGCTCTGAGGTTCTGCAGGGAGTTAGATCCTTGTGCTGTAGGACCATGAGAATGGATAAAGAACATGAGAGGTCATTCCTGAGACCAGAGCAGGAACCTAAGTCAGCTAGGCTAGGACTGACTGGTCCAAGCAGGGGAGACCAATGTCTCTAGCAGTCCTGTAACCACCAGTGTGCCTCCAGTGATCACCTTTTGCTTGTGTTTGTCCACAAGGGTCCTCTGTTGGTTGAATGTTCTGGGCCACAGGACTGATTAGCTGTTGCTGAATCCTTCCCTACTGAGCCTCAGTTCCGGATTCCAGGGATGTGGCTCTGATTGATCTAAGTTGCCTCTTGGGGGAATCCAGGCTGCTGTCCCCTGCTTCACCTTATCCCTTCAGCTCTAGCAAGAAATGGAGCCAGGCTGTTAGAGCTCTAGAGTGAGCCAATACCTGCTGTCCATGTGCCAGGCCTGGAGCAAGGGACTGGCAACTACTCAAAGCTGCTGAGTCCCTGGCTCTATCCAGAAGAGCTGCCTAAAGGAGGCCTTGGATTTAGAAAAACCTGGAGAGAGGGGCACACTGGAGGGGTAGGTGGTGACAGGTGAGATTTGACACAGCCCTCTGGGTACCAAACTGGCAAGTGAGGAGCAGGTAGCATTCTCTTTGGCTCTGACTTTCACATAGGGCCAAGGAAGTTTAAGGAAGGAGGAAGAGTTCTTTGGTTCTTCACATATGAAATCCTAGAATACCCAGAATAAAATTGTTGGCGCTCAGTTGCAACCAAATGATTACCTAGAGGTTTTTCTTGACCATCTGCCTATTTCAGAGGTCTCCAGGTAATGCTTGGCTGAGAGCCCCAGAACTAGAACAAGAGTGGAGGGGGACAGCAGCTTCAGGAGTAAATGCCTGGAGATGACCAGCCTGTGGAGTTCCTAAATGACAGATGGCTACTTTGACCAGGGCTTTGGAGGGAGCAGAAAAGAGAAGTGTCAAGGGCTGGGGGACTGTGGACTGGAGGGTTCCTGACTTTGTGGGTGACCTTCTCCTCTCCACATTCCTCCCAAAGCTGTCTGTACTTCTGCATGGTTCTCTAGACTCTTTCTCTTCACTTTTTCCTGCTCCACTGTTCCCACCTCTTCTCCTTGATTCACTGCCCTTCCTCCTTCCTTTCAGTCTCCCCACCCTAGACTCTCAGATCCTCCTGACCTGTCCACTGTTTGGTCTCCCTCTCTTCTCCCTTGCTTGTTTCTTTGTTCTCTTCTG